AAGTTTAACAACGATTCACAGTCTGGTCTCAGGTATAATAATCATATAAAATGCATGGTTATAAATAACTATACATACATATATACATAAAATGGTTATAAAGTGCCCTTTACAGTGTTTGATAATGATAAATTATTTGATAATAAGTTGATTTATTGCATATAGGAATTTCAAGTATTAAGTTTAATCTCTCTCTGTTTAGCTCAGTTCAGCAAAAGAGATTGGAAGCAGAACCCAGCTGTGTGTCTATGAAGAGTGACGTGTCTATGATTCAGCCAATAGTGTTTAACAACGGAGATCCACAGTCTGGTCAAAGGTAGAACATTTGTATAAAAGTATGTTTACAGCATGGTTTAATATATATATACAGTGGGTACGGAAAGTATTCAGACCCCCTTAAATTTTTCACTCTTTGTTATATTGCAGCCATTTGCTAAAATCATTTAAGTTCATTTTTTTTCCTCATTAATGTACACGGCGCTTCCCCCTTAGAGGCAAGGGAGGCAGTGTCTCATCAAAAAATCAAAAAATTGAATGAGAAAATGGTCGATACTACAGAAATAAAACAACACAAATATTACTAAATATGACATTAAAAGTATAACAGTCACTAGTTTTTATGAAGTAACACTGTCCAACAGCGACACAGGTAAAGTTACAGCGGAGGCTTGCCTCCCTTCGTCCCATTGACTTAAAACAGAGACCCCTTAGCATGCCATGGGTTTAGTGGGGGGTAATTGAGAATGAATGGGGGAAAGTCACGTGAAGAGGAAGCAATGCCCCATATGATTGGATATGACTAGTTATGCTCAGCTGTGATTGGTTCATGCAATAAATCCCACCTCGTGTTTATGTGCGTTCCACGTTCATGAGCGCGAATCAGTCTGAATGAACAATATAATGGTGTTAATGGGAATACTAATTTAAAAAGTAAGTAAACAACTCATACACTCAGATATAACCATGTTGTTATGTGACAATAAGACTTAAATGGGCTGAAAAATTGATCTGTGAGAGTTTTTAGTGAGTAATTAGCTTGGTCATTGTAACAAAGTTCGTAGTCACAGGAAGAAGGAGGCGGGAACCGGCAAACATTTGAACAAAACTTTAATAATAAATTAAACACAAAATAGCGCGACAGCACCTTGCGGACGACTGTCGTGCACAAACAGAACCAAAACACAAAATAAGATCCAGGCCTGGTCCTCTCTCGTCTTTCACTGTCGTCACTCCTCCTTTTATCCTTCCGGAGCTCCTTCGTGGGACTCGAGACCGGTGAGTGGCGCAGGTGTCGCGCATTAGCATTTACTCCACCATCCTCGCTCCGTTCCCATGGCTCTCGGCCCTGCCCCTCTCGTCACAGTTATATTTGAAGTAAATCTCTGTCTGTGACCAATATTTACTGAGCTTTGATGACTGATGATCCAAAAAATTTAAACTTAATTAAATTAAATTAAAAGTTAATTATGAAAAAGAATAGCTGAACATAAGTTCATATTAAAATATATTGTTTAAATTCTTACTGCCATGATTTATTATTTTGGAATGTAAAATGCCTAAAAACACTAAATTGATGAGATTGATACATGGCTTTAATAAATACAATATTCATTACATTGTTAATGTAAAAATATAAAATATATATATATTTTTCATTTTCTGATAGTGTAAGTAATGTTTATTTAACTAAGAAAATATGACTGGGACATGAATTTACATCAGTCGCATGTTACAGTTGTTCACAAAACTACCGCCAGGTGGCACAAAGGGACAGGTTGCAAACTGACTGGTATAATGATATTTTGGTTTGTAAATGTAGATAAAATAAGCAAATAAAACAACAATAACATTATAATATAACATTATAACATCCTAAAAAATCATTAGAAAATTTACAGTGAGGGTTCATTTCAAAATGTAGGATAGTCCTAGGTTACAACCCATGCATCTGTCAGGATCCTGCCCTGACTGTCTTGTCTTTGTTCAATGTTTCTTTGTTTGTTTAGTGTCTAAGCACATGGTTCTGTCTCTGTTTGTGTCTGCCACGTGCTCCTCTTGTCCCACCTCCTTGTTTCCCTGGTCATGCCCCCTTGTTTAGCCCTTGTCTGCTTGATTGTTTTTGGGTCCCATTTCTTGCAGATCCCTGACAGAACGAATCAGCCAACTCAGGACCCAGCAATGAGCATCCGTATTGTTCCTCGCAGTACCGCCAAGGGGAGACTGGCACTCCAACGGGCAGTGGCATCGCTCCGCTAGCAGGGCTGGAAGGTGGGTTCATTTGCCCAGTTTTTCTGGACCATGGCAAGGGGCTTGGAGTACCCGGACTCAACTCTAAAAGAGGCTCTTAATCTCTGCTTGGATGACCCCCTACCACAATGGGAAATGGAGCAACTAAGATGCCTAGATTATTGGACCTTCTCTAAGTATTTGTACCATCGCAAGGACTAGCAGATCATTACACCGCCAGAGTCAGCCTGCAGAGACCATGCCACTCTCCCTCTCACGTCAAAAGCATAGACTGAAGAGGAAGAGAGTAGCTAAGACTGCTGTATCTGTTTCGGAGTCCACTGAGTTAACTGCAGTCAGTGTAGAAGCGATCACTGCAGAGGATCCTAGGTCTGTTCCAGTTATCCCCGAGTCTGTCCAGTCTTCTCCAGTCATCCCAGAGCCAGATTGCAGTGACCAACCTGCACACTTACCCTTGATGAGTCAAGTCCCAGATCATCTTCTGACTCCAAGGAAGCGTAGGTCAAGAAGGAAGAGAGCAGCCCAGAATGCTGCATCTGTCTCGGAATCAGTCGAGTCCACTCCAGTTATTCCAGAGCCAGTCAAGCCCGCTCCAGTCATTCCAGAGCTGATCAAGTCAGATCCTGTCATTCCAGAGCCAGTCAGGACAGGGACTTTCATCCCAGAGGTGGCCAAGTCAGCACCGATAACTTTTAAGTTATCAGTTAAATACAGTCAATTCAGAGGCAGTCACGGCTGCTGCTGTCATCCCAGAAGCCGAAGCGAAGGAGGGCCTGTGCTGTGCAGTTTGACATTCCCTCCCAAGAGGTCCCACATCCTATGGTCCAGGAGGGCCTAAGCCACGAGACCCCAAGTCCAGGGGTCCAGAATGACTCAAGTCAAGATTCTCTACCTCCAGCGGTCTTGGAGGACCAGAGTCAGAATGTCCCTAGTCCTGTTGTCCAGGTGGACCAAGTCAGGTAGTCCAATATCCAGTGGTCCCATAAGTATGTAACCTGTTGGAACCACACCCTAAACTGCCTAGTGAAGGAATCTGTGACTGTCCATGTAACTTCACCTGAACCACCGGTTAATCCCGTCATGCCCAAGAAGGGCAGTCATATAAGTTATGTCATATCCCCAGAGCTCGCTCCCTCTCTCTCTCGAGAGAGAGCATCCCCTGAGCCCGCTCCAGTGTCGGCTCCAGCCCCCGAATCCGCTCCAGTCCAGGAGCCTCCAGAGTCCGTGCCGGTCTAGGAATCTCCAGAGTCCGTTCTGATCCAGGAGCCTCCAGAGTCCGTCAGTGCAGCCCAGGAGGGCATGTCAGAGTCAAGCCCAGTGCCTGCCCTTGCAGCCCAGAAGGGCACATCAGAGTCAAGCCCAGTGCCTGTCCTTGCAGCCCAGAAGGGCACGTCAGAGTCAAGCCCAGTGCCTGCCCTTGCAGCCCAGAAGGGCACATCAGAGTCAAGCCCAGTGCCTGTCCTTGCAGCCCAGAAGGGCACATCAGAGTCAAGCCCAATGTCTGTCCCTGAAGCCCTGAAAAGAGCTTCCAAGTCTGTACCTGAGTCTGTTCTTGCATCTCCTGAGTGGGTTTCCCAAGAATGCACCCTCTCTGCCTGTGCGGTCATGGCCCCTGAGTTTGTCCCAAGGTTCTTCACGAGTTAAGAGTTGGCCCCGGAGGCCACAAAGGCTATTCCCAAGACCCCTCCAGTGAGACCAGCCCATGTCTCCAGAAGGACCACCAACAAGATCCCCATCCTACCCTCCTTATTACCTAGCCCTTTTGGATCCCCTAAGCCAGAACCTCCCTGGTCAACCTCAAACTATTCCCCAGAATTATTTTCCTCCCTCCCAGTCCCGCCCCCTATGTTTCCTGGCTACCCTGGAGTTCCAAGTTTTGTCCTCCCCCCAGTTGGTACCTCCCTGTACTGTTTTGCCCAGCGCCCATTGGGAGGAGGGTACTGTCAGGATCCTGCCCTGTCTGTCTTGTCTTTGTTCAATTATTGTTTGTTTAGTGTCTAAGCAAAAAATAAAAAGACATTTACACAAAGGCTCTTACTGCATGTAATGGCTATTAAACAGTCATTTTATGTGTATATATATATATATATATATATATATATAAAGGGGTATCTCAAAAATTTAATATATT